AAAAGTATAGACTTTTCTGAAGTTTACGGAGCTTCCCTGAAGAAATTGGAACTGCCCTAAAGATCTCTGAATTTTAATAATGTTCTCTAGACCTGAATTTATCAGACGTTTTTAAAAATTGAGGTGAGGTTTCTTCAATTTTCAAGAAATTCTCAAATTTCTCTTACGCTTCTTAATTTTTCAAGTAGATCACGAAACTTCCAACAATTTTCCTAACATTTATGGAACTGCCCTGGAAGACCACACATATTTACAGACATTTTCAGAACATTGCTGAAATTTTTGGAATATTCCATAATTCCAACTTATTAAAAGTTTCTGTAATATAATTTTAGGAACTGCTCTGTATTTCTCCGATCATCCTCGAAATACTTGGAATCTTTAAAAATAATGAAACTGTTTAAAAATCTTTAAACTTCTCTCAAGTTCTTTGATCTTCTTTGAAGATGTCGGAACTTAGCTGAAGTTTTCGGATATTCCCTGAGTTTTCGGAACTTCTGTTAAGTTCCTGTAATTTTCTTGACATTCTTTAGAATTTTCTTTAATAGCTTTAACGTCCTAAAGTTTCTCAAAATTTAGCTGACGTTCATGTGATGTCCTAAATTCATCGAAAATAATGTCCAAGGCTTTTATCTTGCCCGAAAGTCTGAACGCCCTTGAAGTTATTGTGACAGCCTTAACCTCTCTACACACTTAGAAATTTTTACAGAAATCTGTAAAATTTTACCGAAATCTCAACAGCTGAACATTCGGTAAACAGTTTCGCAGATTTCCTGTAATGTTTCACAAATGTCTGTGAATTTTTCACAGATATCTGTAAATAATTACAGGAAAACTGTAAAATTGTTTACCGAACGTTCAGCTGTTGAGATTTCGGTAAAATTTTACAGAAATCTGTAAAATAATCTTAGTGTGTAAGCTTCCCTGATAATCTCTAGACCTATCTTGCCTGAGATTATTGGAACTTCTCTAAAGTTTTTACAATTTTCCTCAAGTTTTCTGATCTTTTGTAGTGTTTTCTTTACTTTCTTGGAGCTCTCTGGATAACTCTGAAGTTCCAAAATCTTATTAAAAGTTCTTGTAGTTTTCCTGATGCTGATGGACCCACCTTAATGTTCACAAAGCTTCGTGCCTATTTCCTTTCATTCCTCGGAATTTCTTAGAAGCTTCAATAATTTTTGTAGACCGCACTGAAGTACTCGTATCTTTTCTGGAATTCACTGCTCTGCTGATTATGTTCCTGGAATTTCCCGGAAATTAATAAAACAACCATAAAGATCAGAGTTGGTTGGAAATGCTAACATGAAGCTTTAGTGTGATAATTTATTAGCTAGAGAATGATCTTTTAGAAGAGAGTAGGTGGATAGTTCCGGTAGAGTACGGCAGTATGAAAATTGAATAGAAGTTGAACATGAGCGAAGGGCCATTAATGCGACAGTTTTTAAAAGCTAGACGCACATCCTTTGCCTAACCCGTACGATGTACGCGGAGACTTGAAGTATGTCTCCAAGTCTACAGGCAAAAGATGTACGTCCGCCTTCTGCACATAACTGACTGCGGCTGTGGAATAGTTCTAGCGATGTTTCATCACTACCTAAAGCCCCACGTTTGCGAGAGCATTTCCAGTCGATGGTGTGTTATAATGCAATTCTTCTTTACCCAACTATTGTGTTGCTCCTCTCGTCATGACCAACGTGATCATCTCAGAGAGAAAGCAGTAGGGTGGTTGTTTGCGTGCTGTACCATCATCAGCATTGTTGACGGCTGCTCCCGCCTTGAGTTGTTACATTCAAAGTGTTTTTTTATGTTACTTCATACGCGAAGTTAGCGATTTTCAGAGTTGGTTGGAAATGCTAACATGAAGCTTTAGTGTGATAATTTATTAGCTAGATAATGATCTTTTAGAAGAGAGTAGGTGGATATTTCTGTTAGAGTACGGCAGTATGAAAATTGAATAGAAGTTGAAAATGAGCGAAGGGCCCACTTCAATCTTTTTACCCTTTTTACAAAGAAGGGTAAAGATATCACTTGAAAAACCGACTATCGATCCGAGGCCCGGAGGGCCGAGTGTCATATACCATTTGACTCAGCTCGACGAGATCGGAACATGTCTGTGTGTGTGTGTATGTGTGTATGTGTGTATGTGTGTGTGTATGTAACGAAATGAATGCGCTCACGTTTCTCAGTAACCGCTCAACCGATTTGGACAAACTCGGTGCCAAATGATAGGTCTTGGGGTCCCATTGAACGCTATTGAACGGTTTTGGAATCGGTGAACCGGTTCCGGAGATATGGCCGGAATAAGATCCGGTGAATATGGGCCTTCACGCTGGATTTAACGGAAAACGTATCAAAACCATCATATACCATTCGACTCAGCTCGACGAGATCGGAACATGTCTGTGTGTGTGTGTGTGTGTGTGTGTACGTGCGTATGTGTGTATGTGTGTATGTGTGTATGTGTGTGTGTATGTAATGAAATGAATGCGCTCACGTTTCTCAGCAACCGCTCAACCGATTTGGACAAACTCGGCGCCAAATGATAGGTCTTGAGGTCCCATTAAACGCTATTGAACGGTTTTGGAATCGGTGAACCGGTTCTGGAGATATGGCTGGAATAAGATCCGGTGAATATGGGCCTTCACGCTGGATTTAACGGAAAACGTATTAAAACCATCATGCGACACATCAAATTACTACAGAATTCAAAAATAAGATCAATGCAAGTCGTTTTAAGTGTTCCAGACCACATTGGACACACTTGGACATGTTCCGGGTACCCCGGGGAAGTTGCTTGAATATGAATTGAATTAAAACCCATTAAATCACATTAAAATACGATGATAAGGTGATTGGTAGCCTCACCAAATAGACTACACCCGGATATATTCCGGGTACCCCCAGGCAGTGGCGTAGCGTCACTGGATGACACGGGGGTGGGGGGCTTGGTAACTGATAATGACAATAAAATAAATAAACTTGAATAAGTAAGAAGGGTCTGATCACACCATAGGTGGGTAAATTCGGGTTTTTTTTTATATTTTTTACGGGCAACCATGGCTTCTTAAGAGCTACTCTGTCCTTAAGACTTTTCTTATGAAGACGATTTCGTACGGATTGTGATGTCAGTTGAATGGAAAACTAGCTTTCAATCTGTTTCGCAATTTTCGGAGCTGATAGTCCCCGGTTCAGCTCCACCTTCGTCACGATACCTCTGTAAATTCGACCAGTTGTCTTTGAAGGACGACCCGATCGCTTAGCTGGTGAGATAACACTGCGCTTTTTGTACATCTGCACAATTTTAGCGACCGTATTTTTGTGAAGCTAGACAATATCGACAATATCACGGTAGCTTTTGCAAGTTTTGTGATGTTCAATAATCAAATTTCGGATACTGATTGAAATTTGGTCTTTTTTGGGCAGAACTTCCAATTTTGAACACAAAACTGAAATTTTGAGCACGAAAACTTCAAGAGCACTAAATGACAGATAGACACAATGTTTACATTCGATAAAGTTGCAGAATACACACTAAAACTCTGTAAAACACACTAAATCATAGTATCCGTTTGGGGGTGGATAAACTTTTTTTGCGTAATTTTTTACAATTTTTCATAATTTATCACATTAAATCTCAAGAAAATATATAAACGCCGTATTTTCAATGGCAATGTGATAAATAAACATAAATTGCTAAATCATGGAGGAACACACATAAAATTAAACTAATTTTCAACAGAAAAACAAAAAAAAATGTAAATTGGTAGGGGGGTGGATAAACTTTTTTTGCATACTGTATGTCTCCTCTTGCGCATTTTTTTTGAAAATGTTGGCTCTGCGTGTAAAAAATTGTTTTTAATTATAAGGGGATGTTCATAAACTACGTAGATAGAGTTTAAGGGGGGGTTGGCAATTATCCACAGTCCATACTCATTAAAAAAAATATGGAAAATTGTCTACGCAGGGGGGGGGGGTCAAGAATCCCAAAAAAACTGTCTACGTAGTTAATGAATTTGTGGTTTGCTTAAAATTTATTTCCCGGAAAAAAAGTGATCGTCAAAGTTTTCAGCTTTTTTGAAAAAAATCTCCATGACAAGATTTGATCATTTAAAGAAGGTTGAACATGTTTTGATATTATTTTTAAAATTCAATAGCCTTTAAAATGAAGGTCAAAGTTTTACCGATCGTTCAGCTGTTTCGATAAAATTTACCGAACACGGTATCAAAATCTTAGTGTGTACATCTTGTTTCATACCCACGGATGTTATTAGGAGTGGGTTTGATAACTTATCAGGTAATGAAACTTTGATATCATTAATCTTCAAACCGTCTATGCCACCCCTAAAAATATCGGTTGTCTTACATGTTTTGTTTGTTCATAGCTACGCAATAGGGTTAGTGTCCCTAATGTCAACCTAAGTGTCGCAAATATTGGGCCCATAGATACATTTCGAAGGAAAGAATTTTGGCGGAAAATTTTCACTACAATTGTTCTGAGGCAAATTTAAGAACTGGATATTTTTAGAGCCATTTCTCCTATGCCTTTCTTCGTTATAATCAATCGTCCCTAACGGTTTATGTGGGGCATATGAAACGAATGGAAAAACAAAACATTTATATTTTTTAATAGCACTACCGCTGGTAAGAACGCCAGATAAACTTACTACAGTACCGACCCGATTGTGTCAGCCCGTCCGTGCATCAGACTTTTATATTTCAATAATTTTGCATAACCGTATTTCCAAATCAATCTTATGCATCTTCAAGATGGATGTTCAAGGTATACTTTGGTGTGAAAAAGTGCATGGGCTTAGTAAAAAAGAATTAGAAAAGGTTTTCAAAAAGGGCGTTGTCAAAATTGGGACATTACTGTAGTTGCAAGCAATCGTTGAACGTTGAACTTACCGAAAAGTTGCTGGCCAAAGGGAACGAATATCGATTTTCTCCTCGTTCAGAACACGTGTTTGATCGAAATTTAAAAATGCGACAGCGTCAAACGGTACCAGGTAGGCAGCTGGTTTGTGCCATCATCAGTCGGGCATTGAAAAGCAAAAGAAACGGCAATGTATCGAGTTCATATTCCGAGTCTAGATGTGTTCTTATTTCGTTTTTGAAAGGTCAAGGTTGCTGATAATTGAAAATTGGCAAAGTGTGTGAATTGCTGCCGATGCTGACGCTGTTTACGAGAGCAAAGTGTGTGATGAAAGATGGAGAAATATGCGATTACAATTTGAAAAAATTTGAAAGTGTGCAATGAAGAGCACTGATAAATGTAAAAGCATCTCGTAGCGTAGTGAGAGCAAAAGTGTTGCACACGGAATTTCCGAATGAGTTGTTGAAATGCAGATGAACAGCTGATTGCTTGCATTATTGGTGGCGGCTATTAAGAAGACAAGCGTGAATTTGTGACATGCGGCTGGTGTGAGGTATACATAGATCGAGATATCGAAAAGTGCATCCAAAAGGATTTCAGCCATAACGGACGGGAAAGTTGGATGCGGCATAGACGGTGAATGCTTCGGTGATCATGAGGCGTGAGAACGGATGGTGCAAGCGGTTTCATATCTGTGGTAGGTATCGTTTGATGTTGTCAAGCCGTAGACGGCTGTTTTCAGCTCGCACATTGGTCATTCATTAGTTGTGGTCAACGATGCAGTTCGAATTCACTTTATGTTTCTCGGACTTACTAGGGATTTTTTTGTGAAAAAAATAGCTGTCAACCTGATTCGAGCTGCTCGTCTCACTGAACACTCATTTTAACCAAATTCACAAGTTTATTTATTATTGCAACAAAATCCTTACAAAACTTTTCTCTTGAAGTAGTTTAGCCTTCCCAACTAATTATTTTAGCCACAGATTAGCTTATACAAGCAAAATATGGCTTATACAGTAAATTTTTGCCTAGATTGCAGTTAAAATTATTCTATGGGTTTTCTTCTTATTATTTTCTGAAACTACACTGGTCAATCTCGAACTGCTCTGAACCTGTTTCTAGAAACTCGATGTCGCTCAGCTTTAGCTGAATGGGCATCAGTTCAAGCAACTTCATCTCGGATCGGCTGAATAGACTCCAAAAACATGTTACCTAGTGGTTGCAATTTATTTCGAATTCTCATTGAACATAGCTATTCAGATCGATTGTTGGATTGTGAGCCATTTATGAATGATTGTCTCGTTGGAATATTAGTTGATTGTTTATTTGTTTGTAGTGCACCAGTGATGGTACTGGTTAAAATATTTGCTGTAGTTTTGGCATGTACCGAAGTCGGTAATAATTTGTGTAGGTTGAAGGTTTGAGTCAAAATATTTGTCTTGTTTGTTTCAAAATCCTAGTCCACCTTATTTTCATCTGGTTCGTGTGCCCTTTACCTCCAGCATCACTCTGTAACTCAAATATCCGGCGCACCCCAGTAGTGCATAAGGCCAACGTAAAAGACTTTCATCCTGGGCGTCTGGGCTGCATGCTTTTGCCTTTGCTCAGGTCAGGTGGGCCCAGATCAGATTTTTGTCGACTTTCTTGATTTCTTTGTTAAGACTCCGTCACATAGTGTCCGGAAGCATGATCATGAGCATGAGCATGATTGACCGCCCACGGTTGCTACTCTGTTATTGCCAAACCAGCTGTAATTACACAGAGAACCAATAGACGATGCTTGGGACTAGCAATCATCCTCAATGTGTAAAAACTGGTGATCTCGAATTAGGCAATACCAGCGCCAGCCGCGCCTGAACGCAGGTCAAGAAAGGAATGGGTAGGAATGTGTTGACGTGACACTCGCTTTGATGGAAGCCGAGGAGTCCTCTGCCCTTCCATGAGGAATCACAGGGATGTTGGGTAAGAGGGTTGGGTTTGCAGCAGGGTTTGTTTTGGTAAACGATAAGCTGAATTGAACCCACGGTCTTCTGCTCAGTAAGCAAAAACGTTTGCCACTAGCCAGACGAGCTCCTTTTTAATCATTGACGAATCTTGAATGTGGATGGGCTTGATATTAGACTCATGATGTTCTGCTCAGTAAGCAAAAACGGTTGCTCTAAGGCCACCGAGCCTCTCATATCACATTATAGCGTTACTCAAGTTTTTATAACTATTCAAACCCGGCACCGACGACAACGAAAAGTTTTACAAAATACACGATAAACAAGCGATCTTACCATGTATTTTTAATATGAAAGGATCAGGGACAGCGTTTTTCTCCTCAGTAAGCAAGCCACTGCAACCGACGATCTTTGAAATCCTAAAACTAAAAGCTACGAAAGAATACTTAGGCCTTCATTAAGATCCACTTTCACGCGACGTTCAATGTTTCGATTTTCTCTTTACGCATGGTTCAGACAATCATAACAAGCTATGACCGACGTGACGATTGTTTAAGACCTGGTTAAACAAGCTATTCCAATGAAATTACGTTCTCGAATTTCACTTGGAATGTAATTAACAACAGAAATACGCGATAATTCATATTTTCAGCGGTTGATGTTTAATTTTAAATATACTAACGGTACTGCCTACGACTACGACGGCGATTACGACAGCGACTTCGACGGCGCCTACGACAACGACAACAGATAATTTGTAACTTATCATTTGCCCAGGATAAACACCCTTGCCCGGCACCTCCACTGGTTCTTCATGTCCTCTATCTGTCACTGTTTGCGAAATATCTAATAGCAATTACCTTTGTTGTAATACTTCCTGTATTGCCATGGTGATCTGGGAGGAGATTCGCATCTAGTGCTTTCCCCTGGAACCGTTCACGGCCACCAGCTACCGCCCGTCCAGTCTTGGGCGTATCCAGCGAGACATCCTTCAGCTTACTCACAATCTCCGTCACTCGATGCAAATCGCAGGCACACTAACGCTAGTTACAAAAAAAAAACACCCGTGCAAAGAAACGGATCCGATAAACGACACTCTTGCGAAAGCACACCCGTCGTCGTCGAACAGCAAAAAAGGAATCGGTGGGCAATTTTGTGATACGGATTTCCAAAATCAAACGGGAATGCACGAATTTCACCACACCCAACTGCGAAACACGTTCAGAAGCACTTATGGTACACTTTCGTTCGAAAACACTTAATTTTTTCAAAAATAGTTGCGAGTGAACCAACATCATCACCACGTAAATAAACTAAAATTCGTCTCATAGTGTCCGGAAGCTGGGCAGGTTAGTACACTATTCAATATCCAAACAGCCCGACATGCTTTTCTTCTGAAAGAAATCCCTCCACTATTGATTTGGTCTTAACTGATTCATGTCAACTTTGTAGCCAATTGGTTACCCATGCTGACTTCGGTTCTGATCACCTTACAGTAACTTTTGAAATATCCCAAGAAATAATTTGTAATCCCAACAGCTCTACTTTCAATTACCATAGAGCTGATTGGGAGCAATATCGAACATTTATGGAATATAACTTTGATCCAAACATTCCTTTGTAAACCAAAGATGAAATTAATTATGCTCTTGAATCTCTGACTACTTCTATAGTTGAAGCAAGAGCTGCCTCAGTACCAAAATGCGAGGTTAAATTCGATTCAATTATAATAGACGACGATCTTCAGCTCTTGATCCGTCTTAAAAATGTTTGTAGGAGACAATATCAAAGAACAGGCGAGCCCGCCATGAAAGTTATCTGGAGGGATTTGCAAAAACAAATTAAAAAACGGTTCTCTGCCCTGAGGAACAAAACTTTTGAAAATAATGTTTCTGAATTAGACACGAGTTCCAAACCCTTTTGGAAACTCACAAAAATTTTGAAAAAAAAACCTCAAAAGCCTATTCCAGCGTTTACATTATTGTTTTAAATTATTTTATTAAATATATTAAATTATTAAAGTATTGTATTTTGATCACAAATTTGGAAAAAAGCTCAGAAACTTGCTAAGCAATTCGAGAGTTCCCATAATTTCAGTTTGTTTCTTACTAGTCCTATTGAGTATCAGGTTGCTCGGTATTATCTGAATATTTTCTCTCGGGAAAATATTTTTGATGATTCCTGGGGGACTGATTTGGACGAAGTAAGGTCTATAACTAAAAAGTTTCAAAATATGAAAGCTCCAGGTGATCAGGGTTGAAAATTCTCTGGGAAGAATCACCCGGGTGCGAGAGATATCATTCTCTGGGGTGAATCTCTACTTGTCTCCTAGGAGATTTATCCTGGCACCACTGGAGATTGTTAGACACAGCATGAGAGAGTGAGAGAGTTGACTGTTCACTGTTTGTCTGTTTATACACTCACTTCCGTGAGAAAGGTGGCAGCGCAAAGGTGTTATTGTTTCTCCAAAGATTCCGGGAGAGCTTTACGTGAGTGAGTGAAAACATCAATGTATACAGCCTTCTCACAGGCATATTCGACGTGGCTATTGAAGTTTAGCCGATCATCGATCATCACTCCCAGGTATTTCAACACGCTTTGAGGTTATGGCGTGCCCCTGACGGTAATATCTGCCCGCTGTACCGCTTTACAGTTACTGGCCAATAGCACTTCCGTTTTGTGGTGGGCTATCTGCAGCTTCGCTCCTTGCATCCAGTTACCAATCAAGTCAATCGCCTCGGTCGCCAACACTTCCACCTCTTCCAGCGTTTCGCCTGTTACCGTCACGACGACGTCGTCCGCAAATCCAACGATCTCAACTCCTTTGGGCAGCTTCAGCGTTAGCACGCCGTTGTACATCCCGTTCCAGAGCGTTGGACCAAAGATGGAGCTTTGTGGAACTCCTGCTGTGATCCTAATCAATCTCTGTCCCATGTCTGTCTGTCGACTAAACTGAAGCAAATTTCAATAATGATGCGATGATGCAATTCCCGTATTCGCATTTCCAAAACGTGTACATTGTTATTTTACCAAATTTTAAAATAATTGACTACATACTGTACGTTAATAGAAAAAATAACCTTTAAAAAATCGTTTTATGCAACAAACTAACAACCAAAGTCTTCATCACGCACCGGGGTGATTCTCCCCAGTGATGCAAACGAACTCTCTACGGTGCTCCCTAGTGATCACTCATACGCTCCGGCGTGTTGGACTGGTGGAGGTGCGAACGTCAGAAACTGTATTTGTTTGCGAAGTGGGAGAAGCGGTAGAAAGTGAAAACAAAATAAAAATCTCTCGGGTGAGTTTGCTTTTGTCATAGTGCGAGGTGTCTTTTCAACTTATCACCCTGCATACACTGCGGAGAATAGCATCCCTGCAGGTGATGATGGAATTTTCTATATCCTCATCAAAAAACTCCCAGAGAGTACCTTGTCTTTCTTGGTAACATTATTTAAGCGAAATTCCATTTGGCATACTTTCCTGATAAATGGAAAAATGCTAAATTTGTTCGAATTTTGAAGCCGGATAAAAATCCAGCTGAAGCTTCTAGCTACCGCCCAATAAGTTTGCTTTCTTCAATAAGTAAACTTTTTGAAAAGATAATTTTGAATAGAATGATGCTTCACATCAATACGAACTCAATTTTTGCAGATGAGCAGGTTGGATTTCGCCATGGGCATTCAACTACTCATCAACTCTTAAGAGTTACCAACTTAATTCGTTCAAACAAATCTGAAGGCCACTCAACTGGAGTTGCTCTTCTAGTCATAGAAAAAGCATTCGACAGTGTTTGGCATGAAGGTTTGATTGCTAAATTGAAAAAGTTTAATTTCCACTCTGCAGGTAAATTATCAAAATTCCAAATCTAATCGACTACCTGTTAGAGCAGGAGTTCCTCAGGGTAGCATTTTTGAGTCTATATTGTATAACATTTTCACTTCGGACCTCCCTGATTTGCCTCAGGGTTGCCACAAATCTTTGTTTGCTGATGACACAGGCATTTCCGCTAAAGGAAGAAGTCTTCGTGTTATTTGCAGCAGACTGCAGAAAATTTTAGATATTTTCTCTTCTTGTTTACAAAAATGGAAGATTTCTTCCAACGCTTCCAAAACTCAGCTTATAATATTTCCACATAAGCCTAGAGCTTCCTTTGCCTGTCGAATAAACTTCTAATATTTAAACAAGTTTTTAAACCGGCCATGCTTTACGCTGTGCCAATATGGTCTTGTTGTTGCACTACCAGGAAAAAAGCACTTCAAAGGATTCAGAACAAAGTGTTGAGACTTTAGAACAAATGTCCAACAAAATAATTAATAATTTCAGGCAAAAATCGTTGCAATCTTCAATTGCAACGATTAATTCCCTTTATACTTAGATAAGATTTAGTTTTAGTTTTTAGTTTTAAGATATCAATTGTTATACTGACCTGCAGGTTTAAAAAACCTGTTTAAAATACTGAATTGCCAAGACAGGACCAATGTAAAAACACTTAGCTATATATCATAACAATTAAGGCTGGTAAGTTACTGTAGTAACTGGAGCACCTAGGTTAAAATGAAATGTAATTGATTTTGAATTTGGAACAAATAAACAGTTAAAAAAAAAGCGTGTAGGAAGCTGCGTATTCAGTGACGGCATCACGGATCACATTTTCTCGGCACACCTTCAGCACACCTCGCGTGCAAACAACGAGGAAACCTGAGGTGTGCTGAAGGTGTGCCAAGAAAATGTGATGTCGTCACTGAACACGCCAAGAGCAGACAGTCCTGGCCATGGATGTCGTCTACGTATCATTATCACCAACAACCAAGCAACAAAACGGCCACCAAGTTCATTTAAGAAAAGAGTTAGAGTCAAATATTTAAAGAACTACAAAAATAGTTTTCACCATTAAGTCAAGGCTATTTTTTCTCATTGATGGCGCTGTTCCATTGATAGTAAGTTAGAAATTTGGAAAAGTGGATGGGCTTTAGATGCATATTATGGTCAAAATATGTAAAAAAAAATCATTCATTATCGTTCAGTTTTTTCCTAGAAATTTTTGATAAATAGTATTTTCTTGCAGACTTTCTTGTTAAAAGAGAGGGAATTTTTATGTATTTTGTATGCAGAATATGCAAATGGGAGGGACTTCAAATGTTAATCCTCCCTCCCCCACCAAATTTTACAGAGTGTCATCAACATGGAATGTTGAGATATTGAGATCGTGAGAGTGAATTTTCTCTTTAAAATTTGAATGTTTTGGCTCTCTGAGAATTGGTAGTAAAGCGGTTAAAAAATGTATGGGAAAAAACCTTTTTTATTTAATTCTAGCTTATTTAACAAAAAATTCCAGGAAAAAACTGAACGACAAAGTTCATAAACGATTTCTTTAGGTTGTCGTAAACTTTTTTTTGGAAAGCTATGTGAAATTCACATGAATTTCATGCATCACATATGTGATATATTTTTTGAGTGTATCCCCTGTTTCCAAGTTTGGTTACAAGCTTACAAATTTGGAGAGCATTTTGTGTGGTCGTTGGAAGCGTGTGGTTCTGAATATGGCGATGAGTGTGCAAAATATTACGCAATTCTATCCTCCCTATTCGCAAGCGCCCGAGGATCGGAGGCGAATGCCACTTCGACTTGTTTCGTCTACTTACTACTCTCTGACGAATGTGCTGGGGAAGCAGCATATGCATGTAGGTAATTGGTGGATTTGTTAGTTAATTCAACGCTTTTGGAAAATGCTGGACATTTACCAGTTTTTCAATAGTTTCTTGTTGAAAATCAACATTCGTTACATGTTCCATTTTCGGTTTTCACAAAGTGTACCCCCATATAGAAATCAAAGACGTAGTCCTACGTCAAAAGATGTTACAGGTGCTACTTGGGTAATTTGGCACTTGTAGCTTCAACAATATGGCCGCAATGAACTGTCCAAGTTAGGAAATCCCTTATGGAAAACCCTTTATTTGCTATGATTGAGGGCCAATTACAGAAGCTAGGGCCAAAAGTTGCTAACCTACCCTATGTACAGTTTTACTGTATTTAGTTTGCATCGGAATCAGAGTCGTTTATTTTCTAATCAAAGGAGTCGGAGTCTAAATCAACCGAGTCCGACTCCACAGCCATGTTTATAATGCCAAACACATACTTTAAAACCTCTTCTTGTAACGGTCGCTGGTAAATGTTGATGTTTTTCATAACCATCATCCGATGTGAAAAATTTGAGCGTTTACACGGCTGCAAGTGTACACTCAAAAATAATACAAAACATTGTTTAAAACTACTCTACAAAATACTTCAGAATAATACCTGATCAACCTGAAGTCTTGAAAAAGGACTGGAGATCATAGAACACCTGAAGATCATTGGAATAATTACTAAGCAGCCTGGTATCATATGAGAGAATATCTTTGCAAACGTTTTCATGAAATTCTATGAAGATCCACGGATTTCCATTAAGTTCTATAATATGCTATGATATGAAGCTCTTTGTTATTTAAATGAAGCTCTCCGAACTTCCATGAAATATCTTCAAACTTTTCAGAAGCTCCCAAAATTTCTGTAAAATACCCAATCTATTGAATCTTCTCAAATTATATTAGGTTTTCAGAAAACGGTGATTCCTGTACTGCTTTGCAGTTACTGATCAATAACACTCCTGTTTTGTCGTGGGCTATCTGCAGCTTCGATCCTTGCATCCAGTTTCTAATTGTATCACAATGGGTACCATCAATAGCGTCTGTTGCCCTTCCTGCGGTCCCACGGAGGCGAGACATTATTTTGGCCGGACCTGGCATCATGCCATTACGCGCGATCGACGTTGGATTGGTACAGAGACAATAATGTTGTTTTTGTACCAAAAACCGCCAACCCCCCAAATTCACCAGAGATTCGTCCGGTGGAAAGATTTTGGGCCATAATGAAGGCCACAGTTCGAAAATCGTCCAAGGTGGTTAAGAACGAGCTGGAATTGAAGAAAGAATGGATGAAAGTGACCAAAAAGGTCGGCTCCACCATTGCACAAAATGTAATGAGGGGTCTTAAGGGAAAGGTGCGGGCTTTCAGCGATGGAAAGGAAATTGAATAAAGTAATTATGCCAAAACATAATCCATATGTATTAGTTCATTCCCTAAAAGTTTCAAGAAAATCCGACTTAAAATAATTTTTTGGCGAACACTTTTGTCTGGTGCATTCTTTTCGAGTACAGGCCTTAGGTGCTGAAGCCGCAAGCAATCGGCGAAGCTACAAACAATCGTATAGATCTTCATATCATCCGCGTAGAACGATCGGCAACCAGTTGGGAGGATCAGTCCAGTCATTCACAAAAATCGAGAATAGCAATGGTCCCAAGTTGCTACCTTGAGGAACACCGGAGCTGTTTGTAAAATAGTCCGATAGCTCTGATCCGATTCTAACATAAAGTTCCCGATTGGTCAGATAGTACTTGAACCAACGAGTTAAACCTGAGGATATACCGAGTTTTTCAAGTTTAGCTAGCAGTATGGAGTGGTCAATCCGGTCGAATGCAGCCTTAAGATCTGTATATACAACGTCCACCTGCGCTCCAGCTTCCATACTCCGAAGACATAAAGAAATGAACGGAGCTAGATTTGTTGAAACTGATCTCTTGGAATAAAAACCGTGTTGGTCAGGAGAAATGTAATTTCTGCAGCTAGAGAATAATGCGTCGTTGATGATGATTTCGAAAACTTTAGAGCATGTACTGAGTAATGTGATCCCTCGGTAATTTTCGACGTTTCTCTTGTCTCCTTTCTTGTAGATCGGGAACATGAATGACGATTTCCAACGCGTAGGGAACTCCCCCTGCTGTAATGAAATATTGAACAGCTTCGAAAGCGGTGTTGTAAGCTCTGAACAGCATCGCTTCAGGATGCTTGAGGGGATCCCGTCAGGGCCAGCAGCATTAGAAAATTTCAGCTGCTTGATGGTGGATTTGACGAGGTCTACTGTAACCGAGGTAATCGAAAAATTCAAAGTATCACTGGGAGTGTCCCTCACCGCTTCAGCAACTTGGGACAACGAAGCCGTAGTGTAATTGAAAATGCTTTTGAAATGTTCTGCCAGAAGATTACATTTCTCAAGGGAATTGCTGGCGATTCTATCACTGGTAGCCCTCCTCGTTTCGTTTGGTATTCACGAATGATCAGAACTGCTTTGGATTAAGCCGTAAATTAGCCTGCACACGCCCTATGTACAAAATTTCTTACGATTGACCAAACTATAGCAATGAGCTGTCCATATACCGTAGACAGTTTAGCGGGAGGGAGGGTGATTGTTTTTTGTTTGTTCTTAATATTTTTTATGGAAGATTATTCACGCGGGGGGAGTGGGAGTCTAAAATCTCTAAAATGCTGTTCCCGTGGAATATGGCAGCCCCCAAGTTTGACCAATAGAAGGCGCTTTTAACTAACAGATCGACTTCATATAGTTCCAAACTATACTTTAGACACAAATCCATAAAGTTCGTGATATTGACTTATGACTATTTGTACGTTAGAACGTATGGCAATTAAACTGTGTTCATTACTTTCAGGATTCTTTCTGGTGCAGATTGTAGTCTTGGTTTGGACTAATGAAACCATACAGACAGTGGACTCACCCTATGCAAACGATAATAATGCTTTAAAAGAGGTCACCACGACTGAAAGTATTCACACAACGAAGCTAATCGAGGAAATTACCGACAATAGTATTTTGATTAGTCCTACATCGAATCAAGCTCTCCTGGAATTAGTTTTTCTGGAGGAAAATAACGTCGCTGTCCCATCCGCGGAAGATGATGATCATTTCAGTAATGACACAACCGATCTTACTACTGCCTCTTATTCATCAAAGGAAACTATCGACCATGTTATTACTTCGGACGTGGCGAACCAAACCGGCCCGGTTATTCCAGATGTGGAAACAACTTCGTTGCCATCATCGAATTGTTCCAGTTATGCTATTCATAGCAATGTCGTTGATTTGTCCATTGGTGGTGAGTACCGCAACGTGAGACATCAAGTGCGCAACCATCGTCGCCATAATCAATTGACGGTCTTAAGTGGTGATCATGACACTGCAGAAGTCGAGAGCCGTAATGGTAGCTCAATGGAGAGCGGCGTTCATCATTTCGTTTATTCGCTCGAGGGGGACTTTTCGATTTCGTTGATTACCGACCAAGACGATTTCGGTGCAAGTCTGTTCACGGTGGATCGCATCAACGAGCTTCAATTGATAAATGATAATGGCACTTTGGGTAATAAAAGTTCAAGTTCAGGGTGTATTTGAGTTTGTTTTCATTGTGCGTTTTGTGTGATTGCAGGATTGAGAATTGTGGTGGTGCCGAATATTTCACATGCGTTGGAGTTGCTGAAAGAAGAGGTTGAATTTTTGAAGCACTGCCTGCCAAATTCTGTAGGTGAGTAATTTTGTTTTGTCTTATTAAAACTGGTGTTTAGTACCTCTTTGAATTATTACAATAAGGTAGAATCATTCATATTGTTACTTGAAGAAAGGTAAAGCCTAGTAAAGTAGTTGGGCTACAGGAAATTAGATTGCGGGCCTCGCTACCTTGCAGAATAGAATTAATGAATGAAGATCTAGAAAGGTGATGTCTTGAGCAAAGTTGCTTGAAATACTTGTATCTACAGCTTTGCTGAAGAATGTAACCACCTACAACAAAAAAGGTTAGATTCCAGATTTAAGTTAAAATTAGGAGAACCCTCATTATTATAAAAAGATTGTCCATTTAATTTTAAACAATTTCTACGAAGACACTACCCAACAAAAAATTTGAGCTGCTTGAGGTTGAATAAGCCATTTTTTAGCTGAAGAAGCAAATTTTTGACTGAATAAACTCTTGTTCTGCTTCCAATGTTTGTTGGGTAACCCTCTAAAATGAATAGAAACGGAATAGATAATAAATAATAGGTAGTATTTTTAGAGTAGTTTCACGCCAAATGGCGAATCGATCTGATGCGAACTTTTCCGATTTGCATGGAGCTTTGCAATTTTGTTTGTTATGGCCAATCATTCACATTTGAGCTAAATTTAGGCTATTTTGAATCTCGCAAAAAACTTCAAGGTATTCGACATTTTTCAACAAATTGTAATTAGAAGTCGTCAATTGTAGGAAAATAATAAATGGTTGGTTGGTTGGTTGTCTTTATTAAGGAGATTTTCAGCCAGACGCTGGTTCATCTCCGGGGAAACAATAATTTCTGTTTAGTAAAAATATACACGGTTTAAAATTTTCGAGTAATTTTGGGTATAAAATACAATTCAATGTTCAATCTAACCCCCATTGGTTGGTAGTGGCATTATGGAAGAAATCTGCTTGAAATATTATTTTAGGGGTAACTAGGAGTGGCTTTATTCCGGGAGGTAAAAGGTGATAGCTCTACTGCTGATCCGGAGACCCATTTAAGAATTTCTGGTAATTCACGCCCATTCCAAGATCACTTTCACATGCAATAAGCCCCGCATTGCTACTATTTCTGATAACAAATGGATAATGGAGCTGCAAGCATGCTTCCAGATCCAGAGCAATGCTTTGAATCCAGCACCTTTTGTAATAAAGCATGATGTATAACACGATTGGAAAAACACTGACCCCACAATCATGGTTCAGCAAAAAACAATAATGAATCAGTGTTAATAACGTGTTAATCAAATGGGAGGGTGTAACCCGATAGCCTTACGAGTTTCCCGTTTTTAGTAAAAATGGCTTAAGCGCCACTCCCGAGGGAGACCATCTACCGAGACTAGGGTTGCCCGACCGTATGAGACCTTTCAGGGAAGGTTCTGTTTTTCCCAAACGAATGGGCGGGAAGCAAGTTGGCTGTCGATCGATTACGGTAAGGACGGGAATGCCCACGACCTATTGTCATGAAAAAATCAATAAAAAACATGAAGCATTCACGAAAACGACTTCTGCCAACGATGACTTGCTCTCGCGGATTTTATCATCACGGGCAGGCTTGATACAACACTTCGAATGGATCCCGTTCGAATAGAGAGATATCCTGGTTGGTTTCGGGGCCAACTTCCTCAGTAAAACTCTGCAAAAACTTCAAAAGAAAACGACCGGAAACGTGAAAAAATCTTACATTCGCTTTTCTAGATCACTTTGGAAAATAATGTACAAAAACCTTTTACCTGTAGTGTGTTGGTTTATTTGAAAACGCATCCTATTCAGATTCAAACTACCTCTTGTTCATCATGGTTTATTTCCGTACTTCTACTTTATCGACAATTTATTATTCAAGGCCTATCTCGAATTCATTCCCTCTAGCTAGCTAACCTTTTCTTCTTTGTTCTTCTGGCGGTATTTATTTAGTGTGCTGTGCGACGAATGGTGTTCATTTTCTGTGTGCTTCAAAAAGCTGTTTGACGTTACCGACGCTTGCGCGGATCGGAATGAGTAACGGCTGAACGAACAGCGGCCACGCTAGCGGTTATGCTATGCTAGGGACTTTAACTCACCATGCGCATGGGAATTTAGTGAACATGCATGTTACTCACGTTTTGACTCGCTACTTGCATGGAGGAATTGGCGGTTGCTCGATGATGGCGGTTGGACCCACGTGTACCACACGCGGTTACTCCTACGGACTCCGAAACGATGCTACTGCGGACAGCACATAGCCGATGTCGTTTTCCAACGACGCCTCACACGCTGAGTTATGGTCTTCTACCTAGACTGAGTACGGCCGTTGCATCGATGGTCGTCCCTTCGACGGGAAACTGCGGAAAGTGGTTGCCGCTGGAGAGGGAGGTCACCGGTTCGAAACCAGTGGGTTGCTGCTCGTTGTGCCTAGGGCGCGGCAAAACCTTTTGCTGCCCTTTTCCGGCCTCGGGTACCACCGGGTGTCCTTCGAAGCTGGAAAATGGGGTCGAAAACGGTCGCTGACTGAGGTGGGTGGTGTGACGAGCTTCGCAACTTGCCATAAATCTGCCAAAGAGAAATTCCGTCGCGTGTGGCATTCAACATCTGCACACTGAACACACTTATGCACACGAAATTACCTCGATTTCAAAACACCTTCGCACACTCCTAACCGCCGAACTAACACACTGAGCACTTTTTGCTTTAATTTCAAAAACTAACGAACTAATCGAGGGAATTTATAAAAAAATCTAAATCAACAAACTTAAAGATAATACCTTTAAATTCACCCCACGGCGCGATAACTGAAACTAGTTTTCACGCATACTAGTTTTTTTTTGTTTTAAATACGAAGTTAACGCATACGCCAATTCGCTTCCCACCCGAAGTGCATGAAAGGATGGGACGGGTCAACAAATCCTGAAAGCAGAATTGTGCAGGTCGATGTCCGTGCGTTTACGCGTGGTTTGCTTAGACTCTTCGTTTGGCTATCGAATTACGCTTTGGCGCCCAAAATGGTACAGAGAACTCATTTACCATCTAATGAGCATTTCGGTGAGTTAACTATTTGCGAACGTTTCATGCGTAAAAACTAAACAAGGGGTAATTCGATGGTGTTTGAAAAATTTTCATTCCTTTACAACTTTTTACATTTTGATTTTTATAATGTGGCACCTGCCACAAGGGAATCATAATTGTGGGGTCAGTGTATACATTTTCAGTAAAATAATATGAAAAGGTCTTACCAAATTCTGTTTCGCTTGATACTGTCGCCATCGTTCTCCTCCTCTTGCTCATAGATGCTTCTTTCGGAGCAGCTACCGTTCACAATATTCCATGCACACATCACTAGAAGATTTTGGATTCTGTTAAAAAGGTCTATTCTATTTATTAGTCATGTACAAAAAAAATCTATATGAGCTATAGACTGTTCCAGAAAGTATAAGCACACTTTCAAAATAACAAAAAAGTAATGTTTATTTAAGTTTTAATAATTTTATTTGGCAAATCATTCTTGTATTTGTATTTCAAATGATATTTTACTCGACGAGGTCCCTAGTTTTTTCTCAACATCCCTAACGGAAGTCGCAGGTTTTCATTTATAGGCATCACTGATCTTTTTATCGATATCGAGCATTTCTAGCTCAAATCGTAAAAAAAAAGTCAATTTTGTCTCGACCCCTTCTGATTTGAATGAAACATTGCTCACGTGTTCGCTGCTACTAATGGTTGCATTTTTCATTTAAATATGATTTTTTCCTCCAGAGTAACTTTTGAAAAGGGCGTATAAAAAAATTGATTATTTTCAAAAAATCATAACTTGAAAACTGTTGATCTGATCAAAACGGCATATGAGAAGAACTTTTAGGTAATTAAATTATATTTGCGGGAAAAATACACCGAAAGAAAAAACTTCGTAAATTAGTATTTAAAAAACGTAAAACGATGATTATCTCAAAACACCCCCCCTTCGATCTTTATAATTTTTTTTTTTCAAGAAAATTGATAGAATACCCTTAAATTTCGTGAAAAGTGTATGCTTCCTTAAAAAGAAATCTATAATTTTTTTAGATTTTTGTTGATTTTTACAAGTTGATGAAAATGCATATTTTTTTGAAAAATAACAATTTATTTGGATTCTACGCATAATTTTCGATAACTTTGCATATAGAAACTTTTTTCCTAAGTCCAGCCGTTCTCAAGTTAATGCAAATTAAAAAAATATAATTATAACAATTTTCAACATTTTAGGCCATTTTCAAATGTTCGTCGAGATGTCCAGCAACGAGATTTTATTTTATGATTGTATATTAAAAAATAAACAATTCATTCTCAGATATGGTAGCTGTCAGACTTACCCGTTTCTATCTAGAGGCAGCGGAAGAGAAGCACGTTGATGTGGTCAAATGAAAGATTTGTTGAGATAAAAAATGGTATATATTTATTATTTTATTTTACAACTCATATTATTTGAATACACTGGAGTCGCTTTTTACGCGGGTGATACGTCCCGCGTAAAAAAAACCGCGAAAAAAAAACCGCGTAAATTCCGGAATCCGCGTAAAAAAAACCGCGTAAATTCCGAAATCCGCGTAAAAAAGACCGTGTTAGAAAAAACCGATATACCGCGTCAATTCTGAAATCCGCGTAAAAAAAAACCAAAATCCGCGTAAAAAAAACCGCGTAAATTCCGGAATCCGCGTAAAAAAACCGCGTAAATTCCGAAATCCACGTAAAAAAAAAACCGCGTGAAAAAAAAAACCGTGTAAAAAAAACCGCGTAAAAAGCGACTCCAGTGTACATTGAATAATTTGGGTGTATCGTTTGAATTAGAGAATATTTTTACTGCAATTTGGTTGTTTGAAACTGGAATATAGCAATGATATTTTCGAGTTCCAGGAATTGGTTTCACTTTCTTAAAAATTGGATCAAATTCCGTGTCAGCCTTTTTGTATTCTTCCGTAGAAACATAACAAAATGACATTTTTGTTTGAAGATCTTTTTTACGACTATTTCAGTGCTAACA